TCATTTTTTCTAAAAAGGGATGTCGTACCAGAAACACCCCTTTCAGCTCCAATCCTACACTCGGAAGAGATCATCAAACTCAGCCAGCACCTATCCATCCCTTTGCAGGTACATCCAATACAACTCCACAAACCTCAAGCCATCAGGACCAAGGCCAAAGGGTCTTCGCCCCGCTTTACATGTCCTTATCCAAAGCCATGGGCGTGTTAATCAAAAAGGGCCATCTCAAACCCTTTGAGCCTCGGCCTCTTCCGAATCCCCTTCCAGCTAAGCATGATGCTGCCAAGTACTGTGCCTACCATCAACAAACCGGTCATGACACTGACCTTTGTTTTCGTCTGCGCCATAAAATACAAGATCTGATTGACAATGAGGTCAATGTCGCACCAGGTCCTGCAAAGTCTATCGGCACTGGATCGATGAGCTGGGGGGATAATGTGATTATGTGATCAGAGGATGAACCACCTGCGGATGGCGCTCAGTTTACACTAGATGTGGGGATGGCATGCACTATTTTGAGCAATGTGCAAATGCTAGTTTTTGTGCTTTCTGACTTGGGTGTAGGGTCAGTCTTGTTGTGTTGTATTGAGTTAGTCTTTTTGTACTGAGTCAGTTGAGTCCATCTTGTTGTATCGAGTCAGTCATGTGGTGTTAGAGTAGGGTGCTTTCGAGCGTGTTAACCCGGGCATCACTATCTTGTTTTGTGTTTGTCTTTTGCACTCTTTCTTTTGAGTTTGTTTCTGCCACAAAGCCAGTTGTGCTGGAAGATCTTAATTGAATGATAGTACGTTTCACCTACTTCTCTTCCGCCGGTACACCGAGGTTGTCGTAAGGCTCCCAGACAGATTCAAAATGCCACATATTGACCGTTTCGACGGGCCAGGAGATCCTATGGTACATATCCGGCTTTTCATGGATGTCCTAAAGTCGATGGGTTTAACTAAGCCGCATAAACTCTCTCTATATGATAGAACCCTGTGGGGTGTAGCAGCCACTTGGTATGCCAAGTTGGAGAATACAGTGAAGGAGAACTACGAAGAATTGGCTGAGGCCTTTGTTGATTAGTATTCTTACAATACCCAAGTTGAAATGACCATCCAAGAGCTTGAAGCAACCCATCAAAATCCTACAGAACCTTTTGTGGAATTTGTTCCAAGATAGAGAGCAAAGGCAGCACAGATGACAGATCGTCCTTCTGAGAGGGACCAAGTGCTGATAATGGTGCGTAACCTTGAGCCTGATATGTTGCAAAAGTTAATAGTTGTTCCACTATCCACTTTCAAAATTTTGCATGAACTGGGGTTCAGGTCGAGAATGCGTTCAACACAGGGATTATTCTCAGAACAAGTGAACCGATAAGGAGGGTGATTTCAGGGAGTACCAATGCTGGTAGTAGCGTTATTCCCAAACCCACTGAAATCAATACAGTCACCACAGCCGACCCTTTTGCTAATACCAGCCTACAAACAGCCAGCCTAACCTGAGCTCAAGGCAGAACTTTCACTCCCCTCTATATGAGCCTAACCCGCGCACTAAAAGTCTTGATGGAAAGAGGGTATCTCAAACCCCTTGATCCTCAACCTTTGCCTAACCCACTACTTGCCAGACATAACCCCACTAAATACTGCGTGTATCATCAACAGCACGGTCATGGCACTGATTAGTGCTACCGCCTTCGTCATAAGGTCCAGAATCTCATCGAAAACCGGACAATAGCTCCACCTCCAAACCCCAATGACCAAATATCTCATGCCTACCTCAATCTAATCCACACATTGCCATCTTCTTACAACCCCAGCATATACATCACCTCGGCCCATCTACCCAAGCCTGAGGTGTTCATCCCAGACATCATGGACTTATGCATGATGGATGCACTTGAACCCCAATCGTCTCAAACTCGTGAACCCACTACTTCTGAGTTGATGAGAATGATTGAAGATCTTCAAAGAACAGTGGCAGATCTAGCATTTGGGATATTGGCTCCGTCATCAACCACATCACATGCCAAAAATTTCACACCAAAAGGCTCTCCAATCTTGGAACGGGCTGCATTGGAAGAAAGTTAATCCCTTGAAAAATTGGAGGCAAATGGAAAGAGCATGGTAGGGGCAAGCATTGGTCCCCATGAACACCTTCGGTGGGTTATTGAGGCTTCGAAAGACAAAAGGCTTAACAACTACAAGTGATTGCAGTTGTTGCAAAGATTGTGGATGGCACTTTTGCCACTTAGGATGAGAGCAGTTTGAAGCAAGAGGCAAGCCGGGAGAAGGGCCGTCGTACCAGAAACATTCCTTTCAGCTCTAATCCTGCACTCGGAAGAGATCAGCAAACCCAGTCAACGCCTATCAATCCCTTTGCTGGTGCATCCAGCAAAACTCCACAAACCTCGAAGTGCCAACCCCGAGGTCGTAGGGTTTTCCATCCTCTCTATATGCCTTTGTCCAAAGCT